AAGCAAAGATTCTAACCAATTCCCAAAAACAGAGAAGAACGGAGGATACGGTGAAGCGTTGATGATGACGGAGGGAAAGCGTTGTTGATGATTGAGAAGAACTGAGAATTAATCTTTAAAATTTGGTGGAGGTAACGGAAGATCGTAGGAGACGACTTAACCGATGAATTGAAAGGATTAGAGCGTAACTAATGAATTGAAAGTAGGAGGAATATAGGCGTAACCGATGATAGGGTAAAGTGGTTTATGAATTAAGGATATGTTTGGTAACTAAATTCGGTGGAAGGCTATTTTGGGGAGGGTAAAGTTTTTCATGAACTCCCTCTTTTAAAGGGTAAATGATAAATGATATAATATTATTGAAAAAATCATGTCGCATGAGGATCACCAGAAACATGGCTAAACATATTAAATTAAAAGCATATTGGACAATCTACAAAGAAAATCCTAGCAACTAATACAGGGGGGAATATAGAAAAAGAAGGCTTTTGTAGCAGGCATTAATCTGTTTAATTAAATACAACCAAAAATAAATATTAACCCATGGTAAATAGGCAGCAGAGAGTACAAGAAATCTGCAGTCCGTCCCCTGAATGAGTTCTCCTCAAGAAGCTTGCAGTATCGAGCAAGGAAAAACATGTGGAATAAGAAGTCCAGGTCTGTCAACAACAACAAACGCAAATGAATAAACCAAGATCAAGTAGATAAATTCAAGAATATATTGAGGGTTCAAAATAAAGCAAATACATAAAGTAGGCAAAAGAGAACACGAATCTAACGACAGAAATTAGAAATTTATGCCAGAAAGGGCATGAGTTGCCGCCGGAGTTTGATCCTCAGGCGTTGATGAAAAAACATTTAAAAATCAAAACTAAAATTTAGAAAATGAGCAAATCATACCTTAATCATACCTTCGTCAATGAGCCTCATTCGTGATCGTAACAGATGCCCAATATCTGAGAAGTGAGGAGAGTGATCGTAACAGATGCCCAATATCTGAGAAGTGAGGAGATGATGGCAGAGGAGGTGCGGTGATGATGAGGGCTTAGGGCATCGGGTACTCATCGTTGGCAATTAATGGTTTAAGAAAGTGGGAGGGCGTTGCCGGAGGTGAAGGGTAACCGTCGGAGAATGAAAGAAACGAAGGCTTTAAGGCTCCCAATTTCTTAACCCTGTTTAATGATAAAAAGGGATAAAACTATTATATTTATAATAGCTGAAATGTATTTTGGGCTAGGGAAAGTTTTTCATGAACTCCCTCTTTTAAAGGGTAGATAGATATAAGCAGCAGCTCTTATTGAATGTATAAACTGCCAGGGTGTATAAATAACACATACCTGGAAAGTTCATAGCCCAAAAAAAAAACACATGAGACTGGTAAGCTTCTGTGGACAATAGCCTGAAATTCATAGGTGAGGTATGATTATAATTAAATTCAGTAATTGCACACGGATAGCATAAACTAATCAAAATTACTAGAATTCCAAAAATTCAGATATCATTAATATGCAATTACCAGGAAGAATACCCTATGGGTAATGGATAATGCTCACAACCTGAAGACAGATATTGAAACAATTAATCTTATTGTATCAAATGCAGTACATAAACTCGGTAGAATCAAGAATAAGTACATAACAAGTGCCAGTTTTGTCAATGCGCGAGGCGCAATGCGGGGCGCAAAGCATCTTTACGCGCACATACGCAAGGCGCAACGCGATGCGTGCGCCAAAGTGATGCTAGACGCACACCGCACACATAATATTTCAATATATATAATCAAGCGTTAGAACATGTTTTTAGAATTTACATGAAAAATATTATGATAAATAATATCTTACTACAAAATCATAATATATTGCCTTAATTTCTAATGCTAACACCCAACATAGTAGCAAATTTTCATAAATTTTCAAATCAAATGTTAAATCAAGACTAATATCCAAACAAAGGATTAGTAATGGTCCTCAATTTAAGGTTATTAAAAAGGCCCAATGGATTTATTTTGCTTTTTGGGATATGGAATATCAAGTATAAAGACTCGATTGAAATGTTAGCAAACAAAATTATATGAGGAAATGTATTACATGCATCCTACACAAAATACGGATGTACGCGAGGCGCAAAAGGCGCTGGTGCATCAGATATGGGGCGCTTCGCCATCGCCCCGCATCGTAAGACGCATGAGGCGCAATGAGGCGCGCGCCTTTGAAAACACTGACAAGTGCATTTAAACATGGAAGAAACAATGGTAAGTAATAGTTCAATTTATTAGCCATTAAATTTCTGAGTTTGGATGTAAAAGAAAAGTTAGGATTCCAACACTTTCCCAGTTATACCGAAGAAGAAGAAGAAGAAGAATAGGATTCCAACACTTTCCCAGTTATACCAAAGAAGAAGAAGAATTTATACGAGATTAACTTGTCTGCAAGAGCTAAAATCTTGTTTACTGTGATGTTGAAGTACACATAATGTAATAATCAGCAAAACAGATGACTAGCCTACTATAGCAATGTGTAATTAGCTGAAAGAGCATAATCATATTTTTAACAATTTTTTATTTGCTTAACTTCTTATTTGACAGAATCATTAAATCTAATTTCAAAATAAGCTCGAAGCAATATAAGAACGTTGTGCAATCTGTCATGTCTAAATCAAATAACATAACTAATTGCCATTGAGTACCAACAAAAATGGACAAAAATTATGGGTCATAGCACATGAAAATCGTGAATTTTAAGGTATGCAAGCTTAATTTCCATTTGTCAAAACGAATTAAAATAAAAAAATTCATAGGTGCTCATGAAAACCATGAGTTTTAAAGTACTCATGCTTACTTGTTATTGGGTTGAAATGAACGAATATGAACACCAATTATGGGTGCCTGAGAAAACAACGAAGATTGAAGTACCCATACTTAATTGGCATTGGATAAAAATTGACTAAAATCGTGAGTTAACTCATGAAAATTACAAATATTTTAAAGCATACACACTTAATTGTCATTAGATCAAAACAAACAAAAATTGATAAAATAAACGTGAGTTATAGGTAATGAAAATAGGAAATTTTGAAAAACACATACTTAATTGTCATTGGGTTGAAACAAACAAAAAATGAACAAGTTCATAGGTCGTAACCAACAATTTTTGTCATCTTTCATTCATTTCGACCATTAAGTATGTGTTTTTCAACCAAATGGCAATTAAGTACACGTAGTTCAAAATTCACAGTTTAATATGTTATAATGCACAAATTTTATCAATTTTTGTTGGTTTCGACCTATTAAAAATGATGTGTACATAAAATTTGCGATTTTCATGAGCTATACCCTAAATTTTTTGTCAATTTTTATTTGTTTTAACCAAATAGCAATCATGTAACATTAAATGTTGTGACTTTCATCGGTTATAATCGCCATTTTCATCAATTTTCGTTCATAACTATTGAATAACAATTAAGTGTGCATATTTCAAAATGCATGATTTTCATGGATAATCCACAATTTTTGTTCTTTTTGACCACATTGAAATTAAGTATGTGTATGTCAAAGTTTATGATTTTCATGGTCCATGACCATTTGGCAATTTTCGTTCATTCCAACAAGATAACAATTAAGTAGGCGTAATTCAAAATTCGCGATTTAATGAGCTATATAACGCATAATTTTTGCCAATTTTTGTTGGCTTCAACCAAATGGAAATGAAGTATGCGTATCTCAAAATTTATAATTTTCATGGGCTATAGCCTACAATATTTGTCAATTTTTGTTCGTTGAACCAAATGGCAGAAAAGTATGTATACACCAAAATTTATGAGTTTCATGGACTATAACCCATCATTTTTGTCAATATTCATTTTGACTAAATGATAATTAAATATGCTTACTTGAAAATTCATGATTTTCATAGGCTATAAACTATTAAATTTGTCCATTTTTGTTTATTTCAACTAAATGATAATTAACTGTGCATACTTAAAAATTCATGAATTTCATGAACCATACCCCATGATTTTCGTTAATTTTTATTTGTTTTGAACAACTGAAAATTGAGTATGTGCACATCAAGATTTGCTTCATAGTCTATAACCTATGATTTTTGGTCAACTTTTGTTCAATTCGACTCAATGGCAATAAAGTATGGGTACATCAAAATCGGTGATTTTCTTGGGCTATAACTCTCGATTTTGTCAATTTTCAATAATTTCTACTGAATGGAAATTTAGTATGCATTATAACTCACGATTTTTTGCCAATTTTATTCATTTCCACTAACAGATTATTAAATTTGTGTACTTTAAAATTCACGATTTTATGAGATATAACCAAAGATTTTTGTCAACTTTTTGTTTGTTTGATCGAATGGAAATTGAGTGTGGATATCAAAATTTGTGCACAGAAATATATAATTATTTGAGAATGTTGGTCAACTAGTCTTCATTTTTAGTTAGTACAACTGTCAAATCAAAAGTCAAGCTATCATAGAAAACATAAACTATACAGTACAACATCTATGTATAGAAGCAGCAGTTCTTATTGAAGATATAAACACGCCAGTGTGCGTAAATAGAACATACCTAAAATTCATAGCCAATAAAGGAAACGTGAAAGACTTGAAAGTTTCCTGTGGACAATAGCCTGAAATTGACACCCGATGTTTGCTTATAATTTGTTCATTAATCATACACAGATAGGATAAACTAATCAAAGCAATTACTAGAATTCCAAAGATCCAGATATTATTTAACATGCAATTACCAGTACCGTACGCCTAGTAGATATTGCTCACAACACGAAGACAAAACTGATCAAAATACTTCATCTTTCTGTATTAAAACTCAGCATTTAATAGCGATTGAAACAAAACAAGAATACTTAACATGATAGAAATAAGAACAAGTAGTGGTTCAACACAGCGATTAGTACTGGTGACCAACGACTACCCAGGTGCATACTTCTGAGTTTAAATTGGGAAGGGAAAAAAAACTAACTTTAAATTGGGAAGGGATAAAAAACTAACTTAGAATGTTATCACTTATGTAATAGTACAAAGTTCTCCTATATGGTGATGTTGAACAGTTGAAGTACCAAAGAAGGTAATAACAGAAAGGAAAAAAAAGAACTAGCATATTATAAGAAGTACGTCCCTGTCTGAATGAAATTTGCTGAAAAAGAATGAGCGTATTTGTTACAAATTTGGATTCACTTAACTAGTTATATTACATAATCATCAAAGATAATTTCAAAATAAACTCAATTAAATATAAGAATGGCATGCTACTAGTCATATACAAATCAAGTAACATAAATATGAAAAAAAATTATAAATATTATTAAAAAATAAAAAATACTGCATATGCATAGATGAGCACCAGTTCTTATTGAAGATTAGGTCGGACATAGGTAAAACAAAAGAGATCCGTTAGACCAAATAAAAGAACGTTCTGCATGAAATAACAATTAACAAGTACACACACACCCCCTCTGTCAAATTTCATGTGCATTAATGTTCAAGGCGCACAAAACAAAATACCATAGCCTTTAAAAAGAAAGAACAATCATATCATAAGAATCTAATGTCTTTCTAAAGCAATACTGGCCAAAACAGGAAGAGAATATCACAAGTATGTACCTTTCATTTTCAAATAATTTCCAATTTTTTATGTTCATTCGTCTTGTGACCCCACGGTGAGAATCTTATGGTGTTAGCGCATTACAGTCAAAAGTGGAGTAAAGCTGCCACAATATTTTGCCTCATCCCTAATACATCACATGGATGAGAAATTTTAATTTAATAATTCATGAGAATAAAGAATAAACTAAAGCTACTGATATCTTGATGTAGGAAAATTATGAAGAGCATAAAAGGAACTCTTGCTGCAACTATATTACTGCAAGTGTCAGATATGAGGTGATATAGATAAGTGTTTAATGGTGGCGCACAAATTTCCAAATTAATGGATAAGTATTTTCTGTGGGTATAGAAAAATAATTGAATAATATGATATAATACAAACAATTAGAGCTTAATCATCAAGCAACCATCAAATCCGTTCTCAAAATAAATAAATTCATAATAAGTTGCATTGTGGTAGACAAGAGACTATAAGTTATAATTATCCAACGAGTACTTATAATAATACATGCACGTCTCAGATCAACTGGATTTTGAACAGGGAAGAAAGGTGAAAGTAAAAAGGCTTGAGTAATCACTGAGTACTAGAGTTATTCCGGTCAGGGAAAGTTAATCATCTTGCTGATTGACAATAGGATTGCTAGCTGGTATAGATTGTTGTTTTTTTTTTCTTTTTAAAAATGAACTTCACTCTAATAAAACTAACCTAACTTTTAAAAATCAACATAAACCCTCCTCAAACAAATCAAATCATGAAATTTCCAAACCACTCAATTGATCATCAAGTCTGAAACCAAAAAGTATTCACATTAAAAAAAGGGGGCAGAAATGCAACTTTAGTTAGAAAAAAGTTACTCCCTCGAAATTCAATTTTAATCATCTGAAATCAACCTTCAACTGCTCTAATTTCCTCATTTTATTGTTTCTAAAAGGGGTCAATATTACAATCCACTAACATAGATTTTGAGCTATCCTCTTCCTATTGACTTTTCCAGGGGGGGATGTACTCACTTTTTAAAAGTTAAGTTTTTAAAAAATGTCCTACACTAGTGATTTCATCCTTAGATTCACTAATTCAATTTAAAAGACCTTAGTTTGTAAACCAGCCAAGCAAGCAATAACAAAGCTTATTATATTCAGAGAAATCTGAAGCAGATTATTGGTGCCCCATCTTCGTGTCCACCAAATTCACGATAGTTGCTATCACTTAAATGTCATGCCAATCCATCTGATACCACCCTTGGAATATTAACTAAATTAGAGCTACTGATGTATTTCCAAGGAGAAAATTCAGACCTGCAGAATGAGCAGATGATGTATTTCACTTTTCATTTGGAGCTAGGTTTAGGTACTTGGGCAAAGTTAGCTAGGAAGTTGGTTAACGCCTCGTTATATACCAAGTAGGTTGCATTTACACCTATTTCTTACTATGACTTTGCCCGGTAACCTATCAAATGTATTTTCAAGTAATTTTAACCATCTATGGAGGAATGTTTGGAGCAGGCTGAAGCCTCAAAAACCCTGAAATTCAGTGCTGGATTACAAGGCCCCAATGTGGCTCAAATTCAAATTCACTATCAGTTCAACCCAAAGGTTTTTCTATCTTAAGACCCTTTTCTTTTTTCTTTTTTCTTTTTTTTAAGAACATGTAGCAAGCAGAGTTGGACTAGTCAATTTCCCATTTTTTCAGAAAATATATATGATGTCTGAAATGTAAGCATGGTAAAAGAAATTAACATGGAAGAATATTACCTACAAATCACAAAATATATTTTTCTTGACAAATATTTGATACAACGCAAAGATCATAATAATACATACGATGCATATAGAGGGAACTGAATGAAATCAAGAACTCAGTAACGTAATAAGCAGAAAAATTAGAGATTAATTGACACGGTCAGGATTATAAAGAGATGCGCTATAATGCAGCAAACAACAATGCACTAACCTTATAAAAGCAGGATATAACTTTGAAGTTAAGCAGGCCCATTACGATCTTGTGCTTTTATCCTGCAGCATAATAAAGGAAAAATGAAGCTCTGTCACTGATAGGTGCTTTTATTCACTGATAACCATCAGCCTATACTAAACTGCTTGTATAAAACAATAACTAAAAAGACAATATCTTTCTTCAAATGCAGCCTCAGAACTACAAAGGTTAAACTTAGCTGTCATCACAAGGGTCATGTTGATACTGCATAATATGGTCACCCACTATGTATAATCGACTGTAACCGAAGCCCCATATTGAATGTTGGAATATTTTCCAACTGGTCCATTGATGCCTTAAAAATAATATGAATCCAGCAAATTAGATCAAGAACACAAGGGATAGGATATATTTCATTGTAAGCTTGAGGCACAAACTAGTGGAGCACCAACAATGACAATTTTGCCAATGATAAAAAGATACATAACATCATTTCAAAATCCTATATAAACTGATAACTCAAGCTAACAGCAACATACAACACGTCACACGAAGGAAAAAGAAAAAGTCTAGCAAGGAAGGCCCAAGCTTCACAGATGTGATTTTCCACCTGAATGTGGCTGCCTCCTTTTAGCCTTCTACCTTGTAGAGATTTATTTATAATACGAGCTATTGCCCAGAGAATGACTGTAGATTGCCAGCAATAGCAGAGGACAGAAGACACAAATCCAGTAGTCTGTTCTGATGAAAAATGTTTGTGCGGCTCGGTAGTTTTTAGTATGCACGTTCTCTGAGCACTTCCAGATCCATCTCTGTAGGATCAGTGGCTTGGATCTCATAGTGAATGCCGTCAAGCTCACGGCGGAACCTATCCTTGGATGTAGCATACAACATCTTGGAACGAATACGAGAGACTGAAGGAGACCTATAAGAAGTAATACAGAAGTGCTGAGAATTAACAGAAATAAAATCATGATACTTCAATCTATTCTGCTGAAGGAAAACATGGTCAAGTTTTAAGTAACCAAAGTAAATATACAAAAAGAAAAGACAAATAAAATAAAGGAACCACTTGGTTCATTAAAATAATGTGAAATTAACACAAGAAACACACAAGGTTAAATGGTAACAAAACTTAGACCATTCATGTCTTCTTCCAAAAGAAAATTCATATTAACTGCTACAATAAATCATAAAATCAGTACAATCAATGATAATAGCAAAGAAGAAAGGAATTTTAATTCATCCCTTCGCTATAAGTTCAACTCCATAAAAATTCAACGTCGTCATATTTCAAAAATTATTCCCCATTGGAAGCGGGTGAAAGGTTGATACTCTTTTTGAGCAAAAAAGATTAAATGGGTGTAACCTTGTGCATCTTGTCATTTAGGAAAATTTTTAATTTGTTTATGCAACATATTTGGTCATCACCGATGCCTCTCAAATATCGCGTGACTCGCGTCCATGCTTGGCATCATCTTCCTATAAAAATTTAAGCTCTCAAAATTTTGTTTGATATGTATGCACTCTGCTTTGTGTTTTCTGCTGCATCCGCTCAGCGCCTTCAACTTGAATGCCAATAGTTGGAGCAGTGTGGAACCTAGTTACGTCTATATATCAGCCGCCTATTTGTATTCTGGATCTATGGAATGACTGAATGCTATCTAACATCCGGCAGCATCTACAAACTGATTGCATTTGCACTCCCATTGCAACTTTATGGTTGATCTGGAAAGAGAGCTATCAAAGAATTTTCAACCCAAAGGTTCTACACTGTCAAACATCACTCACAGCTCATCATGTCTAATAGACTTCTGGTGTTCTCACGTTAAGACCAAGATATGTGTAACTTCCAGTAGTACATGATATAATTGGTCAGTCATACAGCATTGCCCTCTCCCTCTTCTCTCTCTTTATAATTCTTCAATAAAATGGACTGAGGCTCACATTTCCTTTTTTTAAAATATAACCGCTCCATATGCCTGGGAACTTTGTATTAAAAGAGAGCATAGTATGACGGTATTAACGCCATTTCAAACTTACACCTTAATTTCTAGGCCCGAGCCATAGCTTCAATCGTTAACATTTTCATTTAACGCACCATAAGAGCATCCAAAGAAAAGTAATCCCTCATCTAGAGCTGCATATCAGCATCCATGCTGATAATGTGATAGTCTTCTAACCAGTAAATTAAATACCACAAAATCACTATACTATGAGCTTTGCATTATTGATAGATAGTTACCACACAACTCCAGGTACTTAATTTCATAAAAATAACATAATATCATTATATGATATCTTTCTGTTGATCTGAGTGTTCTTCTCTAATAAATATAGTTTGTTATAATTTTGGGCAAATCCCCTTTACCCTACACACAGTAACCACAATCAAACCCATAAGACTGCTGCATCAAGCTATCAGAATCTAAATTCTACACGGCTACCGACACTATCAAAGATCCGCTTACTCAAAAAAAAAAGAGAGTAGTAATATTACCATGCAACAAAAAAGATCTTGCTCTTCTGGCAACCCTCGTCGGTGACGAAATCAAAGTCATAGACGGCATATCGGCAATCGCTCTCCGGCAAAGAGGCGGTGAAATCGTCGTAGCACTCTCCCTGGCCTCCCGTCTTCTCCACGACAACCTCCTTCTTCTTCTCGTCGATTTTGAATACCACGTATCGATGCAACTTCTTCCTCTTCAGCTCGAGGAAGGTCATCTTGCTGTGATCAGCTACTCCCATGCCCGACGATGCATTCGACTGCAACCAGAAACCGAAACCCCCCCCGCCCCGCCCAAATTCTCAAAGGTCAGCAAAATTTCATCTTTGTAAACCCTAATTTGTCCGGTTTACCGCTAATTTCTAAAGATTCGACTGGGAATTTTTTTTGCCCGATTTAAAAACAGAAGAACGTCTTAAAATGAAACCTAAATTAGGGAGATGGTCAAGAAATCGATAAAAGATGTGAAGCTTTTACTTACCATTCTAAAAGACATGGCTGGCTGCTCTTCCTAGATTTCACAGAGAGAGAGAGAGAGAGAGAGAGAGAGAGAGGTGAAGAGAGAAAATGGGGAGGCTGAGGTTTATATAGAACAAAAAAATATTTCTATTTAATTTTTAAAAAGATTTGTTTGAAAATGGAAGAGAAGAGAGGATTATTAATTTATTATTGCGAGAAAAATACGAGAATCTCTGACGGTAGCGCGACTCGCCGCATCCAAGTTAAACATTAAATGCACCTAAATTTACGACACGTGGTATCTTACCGGCTGTCAAGCGGGGTCCACTATTTTTAGTTGAGATGAGTATTAAATTTAAGGTTTTTCTATAGAGTGCACATGGGTCCACTATTTCTGTGTATAATTTATTTTTCTCTATCTTTCTCCTATCTTATAGAGTGCTCATGGGCACTCTATAGAAAAACCATTCAACTTATTGGGTCTGTTGTCATCTTGTTATTCTTTATGGAAATTTTCCGCAATGATCCAAAATATAGGACCAACGAAGGACAGATGAGGTGTCCTCCTCCTATTACATAATGAGCTGGTCATCACTAATGAGGATTAGCTCATTATATAATAGGAGAGAGGACACCTCACATGCCCCTTGTTATTCATATTTTAGGTTATTGTAGCAAAGCCTATTCTTTATTATGCACCTAATAAAGAAAAAACACGGCGTGGATCTAACGCATTTGGTCAGTAGGACCCACGTAGAGAATATTAAGCAGCCGTCGGTGCATTATGAGCCGCTTGGGTCATAAAAAGGAGAATATTTGTCAAGCCTTTCGTGCCTTATGAATATCATTGTGTAAATAAATATTTTGAGCGTCCTGTCTCATTCGAGTTCTGTGACCCTGTCATTCAAATAATAATAATAATAATAATAATATAGGGAAAATCATAATCATAATATATAAAAAAAGCCTTCGATGGAAACTCGTTTGATTAAGTTGATACCAATAGGTTAGGCGGGATTTGAATGTCAATTTACCTACATTTTGGTTAAACTAAAATTTTGCCAGCGAGTTAACACCAGTGAGAAAGAAGCGAAGAAAAAACAAATAATGCACAACTGAAAGCCGTTAATGAGTGAACGAGCATACACATGCAGGTGAAGAAACAAAATACACAGTAATGCATAAACAGTAGCACGCCTTTCATATCAAGCATATATTCACACTCGTCGATGCTTTAAAAAAGATAAAGAAAACAAAAACAAGCAAGAGATGGAAAATCCAAGCTCTAAAATTCATGAAGCAGTAAACCCAATGCTGTGCAAGTCTCACCATATGACAAGCAACTTGATGGATTACTCCAAATACAGAAAAACAGACTATACCTTAACAAAGCAAAAAATTTAATGGACTTGCCCTAAAAGGCAACAACTAAAAAGAGGCATTTCGAAGCCAGCCAATTGCAAGGGGGAAATTTTGCCTCATAAATTACAAAATTATGCAAAGGTCATGCAGCCTCTCTAGAGCTAAGAACCACCCTAACAGAGGAAACTAGAATCTGATACAAAAGAATAGCAAGTCAAAATTTGTACATGCAAAATTAATATACAACATCGTAAGAAAGTTAACACAAAAAACAAAAGCTTCGATTTCTGCTGGGCACATCGCGATCTTCTAGCCCTCGAAGAAACGCTCTGATTGCAAGATGCTCTGCAGCATATGTCATGAAAGATGCAAGCACTATGCCTCCTCCAACCATTAACCCTAATCTGTTTGGAGAAAAAGAAAAGACATTAATTATTGCGACTCCATATAGAAAAGGCGTAAAAATATACAGGCAAATGACAAAGCTTAATTTACCCCGGTAGCATCGTTCTTTCAAACTAACTACCCTTTTAGTTTTAGTTTTGCAGATAAACCACTTGAGTGAAATTTTTTTGACTCTTCTGCACTTAAGTCTTTTTTTTTCTCTTTTGTTCCCCTTCTTTTTTTTTAACAAATAGACCACCTAAGGGTGAGAGAAAAAAATCAACTCAGGGCGCCTGTCTGCAAAAATAAAAGTAGGGTGTAGTAAGTTCAAAACAGTGATACCACAAGGAGCCTATATCTGCTATTAATCCTTATTACAATGGAGTAGGTGGTCGTCATCATTATCTAAATCTTTCTAGTTACAAAGGTGACCCGCTAGCTGCAATCTCCTCTTTAATAAGTGAATTTCTTTTGCTAACTTCATCAGTGAACGTAGATCAAAAGTAATTAAACTACATCAATTTCTTGTGTATTGCTCCCCTCCCCTTAACTCTAGCAGTTGTTGTTTGCTATTACTACTGTATTTTGTATCACCATCTGTGGAGCACAAGATCATGCAAGTATGAAGAAATGGAATCTTGTAGGATCTGGTGGGCTACTAACATTTTGAATGATGTGGACTCAAATCCACATCTTCCATGTCTATTAAACAGGATTAACTGCCAAATTAAGACACAACCCGGATAACATGCCTGTAGCCGCATTAATCCTTCAAGCAAACAAGCAAGTAAGTGCACTCACGCACGCGCGTACGCACACATATATAAAGAACTAAATACTCTGACTAGGTGGTGTACTATGGTAAAACTACTATACTATATGAGCTACTTTCCTTTAGGAAAGTGACAGATGTTATAATTGAACTGGATCTTGATGATGAATGATATGGAGCTCATGCCTCTTATGCTTCCTGATAATCATGTGAATGCTGCTCTAACGTGAAACCATAAATATAAAAATGAAACAGTTTTAAATCATGCCAAAATTAGAGAACAGCACTAATGCAACAAGGGATTACAGTGGTTTGAAAGTCAACTAGGATGGAATGCCCCATACAAGGAAGAAAAGTGACTATTGAGGATTGGAGAAATCACTGTATCAATATAATTTTATGAATTCCTTATTACTATTAGATCCTTTTGAAATAATTATTGACTATCACAACGGGAACATTTAAAGTTCTTCAATGATAATTACCTAGCGAAAAGAGCAGTGATCCCCAATAAGATCGGTAATGAAAGGGCAAGAACCGCTAGAATTGCCATCCCGCTTCCATAGAACCATATGGAAACATCACAACTCGAAGACTGACGTTGATGGCCTGAATCCAAAGCCAAGAAACTGATGATCAAAGAAAGGCTAAAAAATGATCTAATACAAACAACAGGTATACAACTTAACAAACCTTTTCCTGATTCCAAATCAGCAGAATCCACACGTGGGAGACTGCTTCCTGCTTGACTTGCTGTTGCCTTTCCCCACAGGTGGACGAAATGAAGATAACATCCAAACATTATGAAAAATGTTGTGAATGTCCACTCATACATCAGCAGCAAACCCGTCCACGGCATTACTTGTCGAGGGACAACAATAAATGCAAGTGCCAATGATAATATGGCAGCTAAAAAGCAAAAAGATATGGAGACTGCACCCAAATAAGCAGGTACCTTCGAATTTGTGCCACTTGAGAACTGTAAAGACAATAAGGAAATAATTACATCACGTCGATAAAACGAAGTTCTAGAATCCAAATGGAGCACACACAATAATGTATAGTGATCAACTAAATTGGCATTGGACGTAACCTATGATGCACGAATACGGATACGGGACACGGATACGACACGGACACGAATACGGGATACGGTAAAATCTAAAAAAAAAAATAGGATACGGGGATACGGCAAGGATTTTTTTAAAATTATTATTATATATAAAAAAATTTATAAATTTCAACTAACAATCTAAAATATGGCTAGATTTTCTCTCTCATTATATGTAAAGAAGGGATTTGCGAGGAAAAAAAAACAAAGTCCACTATGGATCGGAACCAAAGTAACATCCAGCCTAAAGTCTCAGTAGGCCCAAATTCGTATTAGCCCAAAAACTAATTACGCGCAATTACATAACAAAAATGCCAATCCTCATGAACAACTCTCCACCAATCAGAACAAAACAGGCGGATCTGTGTTTCTCCAAGTCTTTTCACAACCGTCAGATCTCTAGACCCCTTCTCTCTCTCCACCTATATAAAACCCCCCAAAATTACCCTCTCCGAAGGCTGTCTTGCTCTTGATTCCTCTCCCGAAAACCTACGAACCCTAGCTTTTGAGATCCTGATGGCCCGCACGAAGCAGACCGCCCGCAAGTCCCCCGGCGGCAAGGCTCCGAGGAAGCAGCTCGCACCAAGGTATCCTCATCTTCCCCCCTCTCACAAAAATCAAAAAGTCTTTTGTTCCCCCTCAAGAATGGATTAAAAAAACCTAAACTTTTTCACCACCCCAGGCCGCAAGGAAATCGGCGCCGACGACGAGCGGGGTGAAAAAACCACACAAATGCAGGCCAACTTTCACTTAACTCAATCATCCTGAAAACGAATCTGCACCGTGTCCAACTCGCTATTGACCGTGTCCGACCAACTTTGACCATTGACCCGTGTCAGACACGGATTGACCGTGTCTGACACGTGTCGTGCACGAATCCGTGTCCGATTCGAGTCAGACACGGATTCGTGGCCTCCAGGGGCGAATCCGTGCTTCATAGGACGTAACAAGTTCCATACTGTTGACACTACATTAAGTTTGAGCACAAAGGAAACTCTTATAATATTAAAGAAGAATCAATTGTATTGATATTGAACACAAATAAACAGTTTAAACAAAAAACATAAGAAAATCAATTCCATCATGTTGGTATCATGATAAAATAAAAGGGGGATTTCTACAATACAAAGCAGAACAATCTAAATAGATATTGCATACAACCGTAAAAGTACACATTTCTCACCAAAGAAATATCGTTATCCATGATTAGATGTTCTCAAAGTATATGATTTTTTTCATTTCTAAGATGTTTTAAAGGGTATCGAATAGAACAATAGTGGTTTGTTAACCGGAATATTCAATGTCAGGGATCATGGGACTTGTCAACTATATTATTGAAAACCAGTCATTACTATGATAACAAGATGAAATGCTAACCTTCAAATTGCATGGTTGTTCATTTTATGAGACATACAAAACTTGTTGATCAATTAACAGATGGGGTCATATAATTTCATTGCAGACCATGCATTTTGGTAAGCTTTAGTTAACTTTGTACAACAGAGACCTCTTACTGCACCGCTTAGGGAAGTGATAATATTATAGTTAATGTGGCAACGAGTTATAGATGTAGACCTAAAAGAACTTGGTTGCAATAAATTAAGAAGGATGTGATAATGGTTAACTTAATGGAGGAGATGGTCCAAAATAGAATGGAATGGAAGAATAGTATTCATGTAGCCGATCCCAAACATTTGGTATAGAGATAGAGGTTTTGTTGTTGTTGTTGTTGTTGTTGTTTGTTATAACCTAGGAACATTAAAGCCTATTCAAGAGGTATATATACTGATGTACATTATATATATGGGCAAAGGGGCTTGTAATGTTGCTGACATGCACGCCTCTCATTGGCACCTAGAATTAAATTAATTCAACATAATGTTATCTTGTTAATTAATTAGGGGCTCGGGTGCACGCACCCACGTAGGCATGCATTACAGGAAGCAGTTTTAATTCATCCAAGGGATAACTAAGCCAGATATGCCCTCTATCAAAGTGTTATATGCTAAGAAATTAAGTGATATGTTCCATATGTTGATCAACATACTACTGAAAACTAAAATCTATATTTTTGCAAATTCTAATTTGTGAATTGTGAGATTCTTTTAGTTATAAAGAAAAATCGTTCACTTTGTCACATACAACGAAAGAGCAAAAGGTCGTTCAAAATGCATACCATATTAGGAAAAGTTTTATAACATGTAGATCAACATGAACAAAACGGCTTGTCCAATTTCTTCACACATCACGTACTTTAGCAGGTGAATGTTGTAAGTGTCTAAAAATGCCTATAGGTATCCATACACAGCTCGAGACAGAAAGAATGTGATGAACGTCATTATCTAAGTCAAAGAGGATTATCCGACGCCGACCAACGAATTAACGAACTATGGATGACGTGGCCCGCACGCTCACCGGTCACCACCAAGTGGCCCGCGTGCTCATCGGCCACCAAATCGGCGAACCAAGTAGCCCGCGTGCTCACCAGCCATGGTCGAGCCACCATTTGGTGGCTAGGCCAGGCCGAGCCACTATTTGTTGCTAGGCCATGGTCGAGCCACCATTTGGTGGCTAGGCCAGGCCGAGCCACTATTTGTTGCTAGGCCATGGTCGAGCCACCATTTGGTGGCTAGGCCAGGCCGAGCCACTATTTGTTGCTAGGCCATGGTCGAGCCACCATTTGGTGGCTAGGCCAGGCCGAGCCACTATTTGTTGCTAGGCCATGGTCGAGCCACCATTTGGTGGCTAGGCCAGGCCGAGCCACTATTTGTTGCTAGGCCATGGTCGAGCCACCATTTGGTGGCTAGGCCAGGCCGAGCCACTATTTGTTGCTAGGCCATGGTCGAGCCACCATTTGGTGGCTAGGCCAGGCCGAGCCACTATTTGTTGCTAGGCCATGGTCGAGCCACCATTTGGTGGCTAGGTCAAGACCGAGCCACTGGGTGACGCTTCGGTCAGATTTGATCTAAAAGTGTGATTTTTCGATTTTCACGGATTCTCTCGGGATTTGTTGGTTCCTGAGCGTCCCAACTGATCTGATACTATGGTTAATCAGTTCTTAACTGAAGATAAGGAGGAATCCCTCGTTCTTATCCAAATACTCGTATCTGAATCCTATAAATACAGGCTTAGGGGCTCATTTCAAGCGGGGTGGACATCAAGAGGGCGAAACGCTGCCGAATTGGAGAGTGGAGCCATGAATTTACAGCAAGGGTTAGCAGAGCTTGGCGATCTCCTGTGCATAAAGAGTGGAGTTCGAGAGATCTGAGACCCGTCCCCTATTCCTCCGGATTTAAACTTGGTCTTAAATCCCGAGAAGAGCCGTGATCTCGCTTGATCGAGATCATCGCTGCAGCGATTACTTCTTTCGTGAAGTAAGAGCTTTGATTCCATAATCTGTCAACCGGATCTGATTCGTGACGGTCCACGGATATTAACGTCCCCGACACAGGCAGAGATCCCACGCAAGCAGCTGTTAATAAATGTCAGTTGCGCTGTTTGATAAGAATTGTAATCTTTATTTTCATTGTATAAAGGAGATCTTATAAAAAGATCGACTTTCTTTCTTTTTTTAAACTTATTGTAATGGCTGAAATTGTAATGAGTTCGTCACCAATGAAAATCTCAACTTTTGACCCAAACACGCTGGCGACCACAGTGGGAGCCAACAGCTTCGCTGCCAAAGCTATCGTGCTGCAACCACGGATCCAGATCCCGGTTTACGAAGAGGTCGAGTACGAGTTCGACCAACTGAAATTCGAGGAGTATATGTCGTCCTCCTCCTCTAGATCCTCCGTCCCTCGCAAGCGCAGGAAGATCAAGGCCCCCGTTGTCGCTGCAACCCCGCCTTGTAATGCCCATCTGGCCTCCAATGAGCCCGGATATACAGATCTGGTCCTTTCCTCCACCAAGGAGTTAATTGCAGAAGACACGCCAACCCTATCAAAGAGGGCACATCAAAGACAGCGCCAACGACTTGCGCGCCGACTCGGTAAGGCTTTGGAGCCGGTTGATAAGATTCGCTACGAAGCGGATCTGAAGTCCAGAAGGTGCAAACCCCCTCAGCAGCAAATGAATGGTGTATCCTCCAAGCCAACAGCGAATGAATGGATCCAAGTCAAACGGACCCGCTCAACCCACGAAGAGCGCATTCAAAAGCGTCATCCCTTGATTGCGTACGCACGGATCCTCGTGCCAGAAGCGCAGAAGCTGAAGCAAAAAGAGGTGATCAAGAAACCACCGAAATCACGCCATGTCTGGAAACCGAAGTCCGAAACGGCGTCGACAAAAAGTCAAACAGCACCCGGAACTGTCGAAATATGCAAACCACCATCTGGTGGCTCGGCCCAAGCCGAGCCACCAATTGGTGGTTTGTGCCGGTTCGCGCCCGGTTCGGTTCGGTTCGTGTCTGGTTCGGTTCGGTTCGCACCTGATTCAGTTTGATTCGCACCCGGTTCACCACTCGCGGTCCCGTTTAAGCCTACGGCAGCCCATGTTTCTATCCCGATGAATCACACACCTCCGGCAGGGCCCCACGGCAGCGTGGACTTGTCCCAATTCAAGACGAAGATGACGGATTGTATGGGTCCTTTGCACGAGGATCGAGGCAAAGTTCTGATCAAAGAACGCTTGGGTCCAGTGACTGAACCTCGAGCAACCACTCGAGCTGGGGGTCGCACACGTCCTCGTAACAAGTCAGAACCTTCCTATAATGGGAAAACCCCTGCAATTGACCCCCTCGGACGACGAATTGAAGTCCAAGCGCCCGTCAAGAGTTCGCGCTCCCAAAAACGTAGCTCCAAATACGTGACTCTTAAGAACGCCAATAAAGCGGCAAGCTCTCAGAAGGAAACGTGTTCGTCAGACGA